ATGTTTCACCTCTGAGTATGGTGACAAAGGTCACAGTGCGTTATGTTTCACCTCTGAGTATGGTGACAAAGGTCACATTGTGTTATGTTTCACCTCTGAGTATGGTGACAAAGGTCACATTGTGTTATGTTTCACCTCTGAGTATGGTGACAAAGGTCACATTGTGTTATGTTTCACCTCTGAGTATGGTGACAAAGGTCTCATTGTGTTATGTTTCACCTCTGAGTATGGTAACAAAGGTCACATTGTGTTATAGCTTAACAACAGTTCTTGTAATATATCTCTTATTATGGCATGTGTTGTAGGAAATGATTAAACGTGAAAGACTATCAAAATATTTCCTCATTCTGTCCAACCCAACACGGCCTTTCACATTTTAAAGTTTATAAATTAAGGTTTCAATTTGTTTGTTAATATTTGAAGAGCTTCACGACACCTTTACCTATTCCAACTTCATACATAGCAATAAAATAATTATCAATAAAAAAAATTATGTTTCAGCATTTGAGAACAAATAAAAATTTGTATAATATTCCGAACACCAAAATGTTACAAAAATTGAGAAAAGTAGTAACTTTATTTCTCTTTCATCCATCTCCCATTAAATCAGTCTGTTTTCCAAACAGTCCAATAACTCAGTTTTGCTATATACTACAACCAGGGGATGAATGGCATTGATCATTGTCAAATTGACTTTACAAATATTCACTTTTATTAGGTTTGTTTTAGTTTCTCAAAGTAATAAGAACAAAATTATTAAAATAGACATCCTTAGCATGTGACGAGAGGATCCGAGACCAAGCTGGTAAAGGAGTTATGAAAAATGTACACTGGTATACTTTGTTAGATTTTGGTCTTGATGGCACAGAACCTTCATTAAAACTGTAGAAACACACAAAGTTTGGATACAAAACTGAAATGGACATTTAATTTTTTTTTTTTAACCAGGCTGTTGGGCTTAGAACAGCAACGTACTCATACCACCCATTTCACTCTGTTCTTTCACAAAGATCTCAAAATACTGGTAGATGATGGTTACGGCCAACAAAATTCCAGTGCCACTACCAATTGCACCTAAAGAGATAGAAAACGAGTTAATAAAACAATTCATAGGTGCATTTATGTATAAAACAGGTGCATTATGTATAAAACAGGTGCATTTATGTATAAAACAGGTGCATTTATGTATAAAACAGGTGCATTTATGTATAAAATAGGTGCATTTATGTATAAAACAGGTGCATTTATGTATAAAACCCAGTGAATGCAACAGTTGTAATCGTAAACAGTTCTGATACACCCAGTGAAACATTTTTCACACCATGAGATCTACATCAGCTGTTATAAGACAATAATTTATACACCCTTATGTGCTACTATCACGACTTGTGTTACTGTACAAACCAAGTACTTATCACGACTTGTGTTACTGTACAAGCCAAGTGTTGGGTGTATAATGCTGAGATTTATCATTTCAATACCTTCTGAGGTAAAATGTTGAATATTAGAATGTAAGTGTTAGTTTTTATACATAAATGCACCTGTAATCGTAAACTTAAACAGCTCTGATACATAAATTTAAACAGCTCTGATACACCCAGTGAATGCAACAGTTGTGATTACAACTGTTGCATTCACTGGGTGTATCAGAGCTGTTTAAATTTAGGATTACAACTGTTGCATTCACTGGGTGTATCAGAGCTGTTTAAGTTTACAACTGTTGCATTCACTGGGTGTATCAGAGCTGTTTACGATTACAACTGTTGCATTCACTGGGTGTATCAGAGCTGTTTAAGTTTACGATTACAACTGTTGCATTCACTGGGTGTATCAGAGCTGTTTAAATTTAAGATTACAACTGTTGCATTCACTGGATGTATCAGAGCTGTTTAAATTTAGGATTACAACTGTTGCATTCACTGGGTGTATCAGAGCTGTTTAGGATTACAACTGTTGCATTCACTGGGTGTATCAGAGCTGTTTAAATTTAGGATTACAACTGTTGCATTCACTGGGTGTATCAGAGCTGTTTAAATTTAGGATTACAACTGTTGCATTCACTGGGTGTATCAGAGCTGTTTAAATTTAGGATTACAACTGTTGCATTCACTGGGTGTATCAGAGCTGTTTAAGTTTACGATTACAACTGTTGCATTCACTGGGTGTATCAGAGCTGTTTAAGTTTACGATTACAACTGTTGCTTGTCACATAGTCACTGGGTGTGACTATGTGACTACTGAATTACTTTTCTATCCATACATGACTTGTGACTGATTATCTTAAAGTACAACTAGTTGATGAAAGTAAATAAATATCTTTTTAACCCTTTTGCAGCATTATACCACAAGGCATGATATCCGTTTGTATGTGGACTTTCTTTCTTTTACTCTACAAATACTAACCCTATTTCCCTGCACAAATGTATTTGTTTTTGCCTTCATGTTGCATCTCTAAGAAATTATCCAAGTTTTCTGGTGTTTATATATCATGTGACTACCACATGTCTTAAACAGACTGACAGGCTTCCTGGTATTTGCTGCTTTACTTCTGTAACTGTACATCACTGTTATGTGATAATCAAATATGCTTTCATTTGTAAGAGGTTTCCCCCTCTCTATCATCCAAGAAAAATCAAAGTAGTGATTGTTGGAGAAGAGTTATGGCAAATAAAGTATGCATACTGGATATCGTAAATATGTGCCGAATGTGTGTAAGTAAAAAATGTATAAGCTACGTAACTGAAACGACTAGGCCTAAAAATGGACCATGAAATCATAAACAATCTGTTAAAGTGGCTTTGAAACAATGTTATTACAAAATTATCACAACAAAATATTCCACACATAAAATAAACAAGTTGATTAACAGAGATACAACATCGTCAAGATAAGATTTTACCTAGAAAATCTGCTAACACTGAGAGAGCACCTATACAAAGACCACCAAATGCAGCTGCTGTAGGGATGTACCGGTTCAACTCGTGAATCATCGACTTTTCTCGATGTCCTCTCATGACCATTTGCTGTTCTTTTAGCTGTTTGGCAACCTTGAATAAAATATTAAGGATTAAGAGCTGCAAAATCACTAACATTAGGCTGTATTGTAATAATAACTCAAACATATCCATGCAAAATCACTAACATTAGGCTGTATTGTAATAATAACTCAAACATATCCATGCAAAATCACTAACATTAGGCTGTATTGTAATAATAACTCAAACATATCCATGCAAAATCACT